CTTACCCTGAGAAAACTGATGGAGCTAGGCTATGAAACTCTAACCCATCCACCACATTCCCCAGACCTTGCTCCCATAGACTACCATTTCTTTAAACATCTCGACGCTTTCTCAAGGAGAAATGCTTCAAAACCCAACATGATGCTGGCGCGGCATTCGACGATTTCATCTCCTCTAGATTTCCGGACTTCTATGCGAATGGGATACTTGAACTTGTTTTTCGTTAACAAAAGTGTGTCGATAGTAATGGTTGTTATTTCGATTGATGAAGTTTCGTTCAAGCCGAGATATATGCATTTGAAGTTTGAGGCGCAAAACCGCAAGAACTTTCTACACGACCTAATACATTACTCTTGAGGTTTGAGCCATGTAACAGTGACACGGTAGCTTGATGACGACGCTTGGTAGTCATAAAATTGGGGAGTACAACGGCAAAAACTTTGAAATAAAGTGCACGATATTAGCGCAGAAGACGGGGGTTTCATAGAGAACAGCAGGGGCGCATTGAATTTCCCAGAGAAATCCATAAGTGAACGGTAGAGGTGACTGCCCGTTCATAACCACCGATCTTTTGCCCTATATCTACAAGCCTTTGGCGACAGCGGATTTTTATTTCCGCTAGAGTGAAGCGTGGTGAATTATGCTTCGAATTATGGGTTCTGAATTTGTCGTCACATTCGATAGAGAGGGAGTGCACTCTCTGGATGCTCTGCAAATCATCGAGTTGCTTTAAGCTTCTAAAGAAGAAGATAGTATCTAAACGTTAGGCCGTTGTTTCAATAATTGGTTTTATCTAACAGACTCCCACGGCGGAATATTTTATTTATAAACGTTTGCAACACTGCATAGGTTTGAGTCCGATACAAGGGTATCACGAATCTGTTCAAGTGAGCTTCTCAGATACTGAGTTTTCTGAACATTCAACAAAATGCTACTTAAAATATTTATTCCCGTATATCGGAGTATCATTTCTGAAGATTCAATACAAAAATAATCCCGTGTAATTGATGTTTCCTAGAGCATTTCTTTTTGCACAATATTATGCTCTGCGAGTAAAAATTAAGAAATATTTAAATGTCACAACAGTCACACATTGGTTCCTCCCTCAGTAGGCTGAGATTCGTTCTGATGTGCAGAGGAATTCACACTGGCCCTAGCTAAGATTAACGTTCCCACACCAAAACGACGTGCCTAAAGTGAAACATTTCACCATAGGAATATGAAATGTTGTCGAAATCAGTACCTGAAGCCCGTCATTGGAATGATTACCGCGTGATGAGGAATGTCCACACATGATTTCGGTACCTTTTTCTGAGTCGGAGTACTTTTTCTGTAGACATAAGATCCGCCCAAGAATAGGGCAACAAGTGGAGATGCGTTCGCTGATCTCATGCACTTGGCAGATGACCTGTATCATTTCAAGCAGTGAAATAATGATGAGAAGTGGGTTTGAGAGCTACATAACTTCAAAAAGCGTCTAACAGATAACAAGCAAGCACGAGCGAGACAGTATTTGGTGACATTGGTTGTGTGTCCCGCTTGCTCATTTACTCAGCAGATCCTCGAGGAGCGAATAGTATCGAGTAATATATTGTATCATCCTTAGGAAGTCTCGATCCTCGCCAGGTGTTCATGAGGAAGGTTTAAGACACCGGTGAACGGGCCAGGGATAGTAAACGGCCTTGTCTCGATTGCTATTTCGTGGCGTCAATTTCAACGTCATATTACAGGGCCCCTCTAGCGGTAAAAGTGGTTGAGACCCACCTCAGTTTTTATTTGCTTATCATTGATGGCATAGATCGGCAAACGAAGCGCACACGCTAGAATTGGTAGAAACGACGAGATATCTGTTGTGACCGTGTAAAATCCTTCGTTGGCAAATAACGATTCGATATCTATTGTCTGAAAATACGCGGTTAGCTGATGGAAATCAGTGACAGTAGGAAACGGCTTGCCTCCCAGAATGCGATGACGACGTCAATGATGTTGGCGGCCAGATAACAACAGACGACCATGACCAACATTCGTGTGACAGCTCGAAGTCGTGACCTCAGACGGGTCACTTCCGCTCTGAACTCATCGAAATGAACTTGTAGAGAGTAATCGCTTTAGGAAAGTTACATACCCGCTGCCAACGGTTGTGTAAAGAACCAATGCTTTCACAGTGTGGTCCTTGTTACTTCGGCGAACGTTGAGCACTATGGCAGCGTTGAATGCAGCCAATGCTAAAACTCAAACTCGGAACTCATACTCAGAATCCTTACTCAAGCTGAAGATAATGCAATGACGGCATTAACAGTTCTCACCGATGAATGGAAGAAACACTGTGACGATTTTACGAATCCAGAACTTCCATATAGCATCGTGGACAGGATTAGAGAAAAGTCGGGAGGATGCTAGTCCCAAACTGGAGAATCCCGAACATCGTGGATTATACACAACCTAAGGATTCTCTACCTTACTCTACTACCTTTGGAGTGGTTCAGACTGTAACTCTATTAAAACGTGCGGAAAGCTCACCGCAACTTCAAACAGCACTGTTCCTCTGAAAATGCAGCCGGTAACGAAGCAAAGTGAGACTACAGCGGCTCGGTGTCGCGACAAAAATTGCAGCATCTCCGTAGCTCTGAAGCATTGAACCGATTAGTGAGAGAGAGAAGAAGGAAGTATATCAGCTCTTACCGGCGGTCGGAGGTGCTCAACAAGTAACGCTCAATGGTAGCCGCCATGAGCAGAAACGAACTGCTGCTCAGAGTGATATGTGACACTGTAAAAGCGCCTCGAAGATAGCGATGCCAGAGATAAAACAACGTAAAAGACTCATAATAGTCTGTGTACACCTGAAATCATAGATGAATACCTATTCTTATACTCCTCCAACACCAAAAACCTTTTCAGAGTCTGACTTTAAAGTGTAAAATTGCGAAGAAGCTGCACTCACTTGAACACACATAATTGCAATATAACACAGTGAAATGAATATATCACAGCCAGAGATCCACATCAAATAGGTGAGGCTCCTTTGTCGAAGCACCTGAATAGAGAATTACTAGAGTGTGAAGGACCAGAATATTTCTGCAGCTCGAGAAAAGTAGTTGTAGTTGCGCGCTAAGGTGGTTCCTAAGGATATGGATGAAAAGCTTGTAGTGAGTGATAAAGAGGAGAACTTTGTTCATCACTGCACACTAGTTCCCTAGAAAATGTATACGCGTATGGGATCTATACAGTGCTTTGCGGTGGCCAGCTGATGTACTAGTCAGTGCTTTTATACTCCCAGACGAGCCTTGGATCAAATTATGGATCCCAGAGGGATAGAAGGCCCGGTTGGCCTAGACGAATATCAATCCACGATACGAACCCGTGACCAAACATGTATGATAGTGCGACACTTGCTACTACAGTGCGCCCTCTTTCATACATACTCGTGTTAATTTTTACCCTGACCAAAAAAATGCATAGTACACTGATGGTACGGCAATGGAAATTATCACTATCATTAGTGGATTGAAGAAAACGTGGAATAGAACGGACCTTCTGTCTTCTTGAACTACCAATTATCACTATCATTAGTGGATTGAAGAAAACGTGGAATAGAACGGACCTTCTGTCTTCTTGAACTACCAGACTAATTCACGTCAGTTAGTCCAAACTCAACTTGAACTACACATGCCTTTTGGATTGTATGCGAATGAAATGTGAGGCGGCGATTCGAAGACACCATCAAGACACTCAATACTGTGGAGTTTTTCCCCGTCGTGTAAAACAAGTACAAACCTCACCGTGGCTCTTAGTGAAGCTTAAATGAGTTGCAAAACAGAACTGCTCCCCGATCACTGTTTTCAACATCTTCCTTGACATGTATATAACCCACGCGGTGTAAGCAGCTCCCACAACAAAACGAGAAAGGCGCGAAGAAAAATCCTTTAATGGACATGTCTCATAAACATGGTTTCAGGAAAAAATTAATTCCATAAATTACATCCGGAGGCACACAGATGTGGTCAAGTCAAATGCATCCTATATTTGGAGAAGATGTTGCGAACGTCTTTGATTATTTCGAAATGCGCTGAGGAGAATCGGATAGATTATCCAAAGGCCCATTTTCGACTCAGATGAAGTTCACGGCCTAAGATTCAGACTGGTACCTAACACAGGGAGGTGAGAGTTTTATGGGTTTTAATCTTCATTGTGCAATTCTGCGTCACTCGTTCTTTATGTTGACATACATGAATGAATTCTGCAGTTTAGTATGGAGCTATATGATCAGAGCACTCACAAATTTCTGCTTGATAACATAGTTTAGTCTAGATTGTGGTTTAAATTAACCAAAGGAAGCGATTCTCGAACGCAGTGGACATCATCTTTTTTATTGAATGCATTGAAAAACTCCTATAACTCACTTTAGAACAGTTGAAAGTGTAGAACAAGAGCACATTGTGAGTTATACTCACTAGAGCGGTCACCAAACCGATACATCCGACGAAGAGCATTTTCCAGGGCTGAAAAATGCTATTTTGCGAAAGGAACATTGAAAGAAGTATCAGTATGCTTGGGAAGTGTCGACCAGAACTTTCTCAAAAGCCTAGGAACTGTCATTGGGATTTCTCGGGGGTTTCTATAAAAATACTGCGAGAAGACCAAGCTCAAACGTATGCGTCTATTGTAATTCCATGACATCGCAGTTGGTTGATTGATCTGGGACTTTTTCGACCTTCTCATTTTCAGCTTCATAGAGTTGGACGAATGAGTGCCCAGAAGCGCCCCAAAGGCCCTCCAAGGCCGAATGTCTGACACAACTTCCGATGGACTTGAACCGCAAAGGAGTGTATTGGCACTTGTCCTGAATTTCCTAGCCAATATAGAGATATAGATCGGTCATCATAAGGTCAAAAAAGCGAGAGAGAGGGGCCGGATACTTTATGCACCCACAAATTATTTATTGTCGTTATATAGCGACCCGTGGAAACTTCGAGAACATTTTGAAAAGTCTAGACTATTGCAGATTTCCTGACGATACTCCCTAAGCGACATAATGGATCTGAACGTTAACTTACTAGAAAGATTTGCGGTCGGTAGAGACATTCGTCCNGGTCTTCGCAAGAAAATTTTCTGAAATAAATGAGGTATACCTAGAAACCCCGACGTGCAGTTGTGTAGGCGACAGACGACGAGCTCCAGGTAATAAATGGAATGTCTGGCAGAAAAATCTGATTGCTTATACCTAATTAGGAGACTCTAAAGAACACTCACGGAAAGGATAATGGATGGATGAATTGCATACAAACACAAAGTAGGCGGTTCTTAAGAAAGGCCAAGGATGTGAGCGCAGTTTCAGAGCACGGTTTTTCGCTAACTGAGAATGATGATAGTAAAAAAAGAGCACGGAAGCTCGTAGAAAACCTGATGATGCAAGCCAGGAAAAAAGAGCAAGTGAGAGAAATTCATAGGCTTTGTATGAGGAATGAACATCATTTTTACTTTTGTTCACGGGGTTATACTCTGCCCAAGTCGCATGATGTCAGTCACTTCAACCGGATGATCTGGTAGAGGAAACCAGATTGTAGCAGAAAGCAGAAGTATGAACCCTCTTCTTGACTTTTCTCCTTGAACCCTGTTCTCTTCATCAAACGGGAAAGTGACCACTTTTTTTGGGAAAGTGTTTCACACGGCATTCTATGATTCCCATGTAACGCCCCTCGCAGCTACCAAAAAGTCGAAATCACATACTCTGTTGACGTAGTTGTCTCTTTTTATATATACATATTGGATTTCTATATTTTTTCCATAAATTTTTCCCAAACTCAATAAGTGGTGTCATGAGAACAAACTTTTTCCAACCTCTCGATAAGAAGATGGAAGGAAAGGGAGGACGAAGAGGAAGGAAGAGGAAGGGAACTGTTGTACTGAGCTTCAAAATAAGCTTTTGTAGATACGATTGTGGTTGTCATGGAATCAACTTGGTCATTAAATGTTTTTCTTATAATATACCTCTAAATCTGACTCTCAATACGGCTTTTGTATTGTGATGGACAACTTGCTGTGATAGGAACTTTGGTCACTGACCCTTGGGTGTGGTGCAGTAGGAACGAAGTCGTCGCGTCGCGGCAAGAGAGACGCCGCGAGCGAAGGAATGTAGCAGAATGCAGCAGCAATTAAGAAATACAGGAAGCAAAGAGCTAGTGCCGTAATGACGGCGAAACGAAGTTCGCGACAGCCGCGTGCGGCGAATCGATTACGCAAAACCGTTCCTACTGCCGGTCTCCCCTGACCCTCAGATTCGGGGAAATTAGGCAGACTTATAGTACCGCGTTTACGTCAATAGTCAGCCTGGCGTGGTGGAGTAGATCTATAAGGGGCCGATACCGTGAAGTAAGCTAAAAGGGCAAGTAGACCCAACCCTACGGGCTTTAGGCGTCGCTATGGGCTCGTCTTCGTTGGAGTCAATTCAATCACTCAAGCCACCATGGAGCCTGGCAGAGAACTCTAGGTGAGAAGGCCGCTTATGCCAACCGAAATTTGGTTGAGTGGGTACCACTCATGCGACTTATGTGGATCGTAGACTACTGCGGATCCACCTTCAGAAAATCGAACAAATAGGCTAATTAAGTATTTTTCGGCCAAGGTGCCATTAATACAACACATCGTTAGTCGTAAACGGGCTTCGCTTAATTCATGGGTACCCAGCAATTTGTAATACCTAATTCCAAAAATTGGACTTTCATTTCAAGATGCTTAAATAAATCGAATCAGTGAAGCATGCAAAGAAGAAATCTGAAGAAACAGAGCATTCCATGTATGATCAAAGCTATGGAAATATGAGTGGATTATCATATGATATCTGCTCGTGATTTTCTGCACAGCAAGTATGGTAGAAGATACAAGGTCCCCAGACTCCATTGGAGCCCATTCCAGGAAAGCGCTCCCTTATTTGGACTTCAATCAGAATATAGCGGCTGTTTGAATGCTTATGTGGACTACTTGTTGCTTACATGGTCAGTGCTTCTGTACAATGAGTTGCTTCGACCAGCTGATGTAAAGATCAGTCTTTTGATTCTCCCGAATGAGTCCGTTACCATTTAGCCGACCCTCAACGTGAGACCTACCGGGATTCGTTCCCCACACTGGGTGAGACTTTTAACCAACGCACCCCCTCTCAACCGATAGACGTTATCGCAACATATTCTTCACTGTCTCACCCCTAGAGAGGGTATATGAAGATTCTGTTGGAGCAAGGCAGTGTGAGTGTGAGACAGCTGAGCTAGTGTTCGATGCCTGGATTGTAATCACTACTACTTCCGAGTAACCCAAGCAGCGTACTTACAGATGTTTCGCAGAATGTTTGCAAACGACTTGAATGAGAAAGCACATCGCATGAAGAAGGTGCAGCTTCAATTGAGGAACCGGACTTGTCGGAAAAGTTACCAAGGAGAGCGTCATATTAGTCCTCTTTGATGATCTGCTCAAATGTTACATAGTATGAATTACATAATGCAATCATACAGCTATAATTGCAAAATAACTATATGATTGCAAGAGCACCTAGCTCCCATAGTGGGATATCAAACACCTCTAGTTCGGTTCAGATCTTTTTAGTTTGTACTTTGAACGGTGGAACTGATAACACAGATTGCTTTCCGTTCAGCCCTTTAAGGATCTACCATTTTGAGAACAGACTAGAGCAACAGATCGATCAGGATACTGAGGAGTCAAGAAGTCCCCAAGAAGCCCATTACAGTGATCTATGGAACACCTCAAATTCTTCTTCTACGTTTTTCTCGAGTTCAAGAAAGGAAAAGGAATGCGAATTTCTAGTAGAAACTTCCATAACTTAGAATGTACATACCTGAACTGACATAATATTCTTTTGTTTTGCCACAGTAAAGAATTTTTGCTTACCGTAGTATATGTATGTAGTTGTGAAACTTCGTGATATAAGCGTAAGAGTGCTGCTAGTTGAAGGCATACCCAGAAGCTCACTCTATGGATTGATTCAATATTTTTGCAATAGAGCTTGAGCCGAGCCCGATGTTACGACGGAATGCTTTTATGGTGTATTTTAGGCTCCGCCCATCAAGGGATCAAAATTCCCAACAATCACATGATTAAATGCAATAAAATGAAGCACAGCAGAGAAGACTAATAGTAGCAGATGAAGACCAATAGAGCTAATTCTATTGATGGCATTAATCAATTCCGTTTCTGAATGCGTACCCGCATTGAACTCCCATTCAGGATCGTAGTGGCGGTTTGATTTTGTATGTAGCGTATAGAATGGCTCGCAGTGGCTTGCCAGTATACAAGTCAGTGCTTTCACGTGTCTGGTAACGACTATTCGGCCCAATAGGGATGGATGACCTAGTTGGCTTGGGCAGATATTGAAACTGTACTCGATCCCTGGTTCATGCATATGTGATAGTGCGCCACTTGCCATGCACCACTATCGCCCATTCTAATGCTAAACAAATAAATTTGAGAAACTAGTGCAGGTCTTGGCTTCATTATCTTCTCCTGAAAGACTGGACTGAAAGGCAAAGTGTATCATTAGCGCTTTAATACTGTTGTACTTTGATGAACTGCGGTAGCCCAGCGTTGAGAAGTGCCGTAGGGGTCGTCCACCACCCCGTGGCATTGAATTTGCTACTGCCTGTCAAGTTGCCATTAACTGGTTATCCGCTTTCGTGGTCAAGCTCCATCATGGGACCTAAGCTATCGTGGAAACTGCCTCTAGATGAAATTATCATGAGCTCAGCGTGTGAAGAGGAATTCGCGATGCACTCCCACATCCTAATCCAATTAACAAACAGTGCAAATGTACCAATTACGGGGAGTATGGGTAGGTATGAAAATTACATTTTCAACTACCCCGTGCTGAGTAGATCGCATGGAGGAGGTATAGTTACGGATCTTTGGGTGGTACTGAGTCTTAAATAGTCAATTGAACAAAAGTTGGACCCTTGTGTACCAACGAAAAAACTCGGTTCAATTTGTACTTTGCGAAATACCAACACTTTTGCTGGAAAACTCCACTTTCTCTAGAAAGAACCTGTTGTGTCAACACGGAAAAATTCAAGGTGCCGCATTCTCTTAGCACATGTGGAATATCAACCGTTTGGGTTCCTTACAATTCACAGAAAAGTTGGAAGTTATTGCTACACCAGAGCGAAGATGAAAGGCTTGCCAATTAGACAAATGAAAGGTAAAAATGCAGTGAACTCATTAGAATTTTCATTCGAAGTCAAATGCATGGCATCCTCACTTATGTGGCGATATGATATATATATACCGTACAAGCTCAGTAGGTTTCGCAAGCCCTCCATGGATTGCCTTAAGTGTTGGAAAATGAAGCTAGTGTTGTAATTTCGAGAATTCAAAAACGTACGCCTTTATGGCAGTGTTTTCGAATTCGTCGAACTTCCACACCAAGGGCTTCGATGTTGTGGAGGCAGCTTGAAAATGAAACCCTACTATTATTTACAACAATTTGTAACAACTTGCTAGCCTTGTGACTTGCAGATGTTATTCAACACGA